TAATATTTGTATTTCATTTCAGCTTATTTCTATTAACAAGATTGTTTTAGTATTGAAGTTTAAATCTCATGTATCCTTTTAGGAGCCCGTCCAAGTCATAGTTCTCCTTAAAATCAAAAGAAAATGTACTGTAGTTTGTAGCAAATGAAGTGTCTGAAGAACAGTTGTATCTTCAGGCGTTTCTTGAAAAGAAACCTCAATACACGCTGTCTGAACACTGAAATCTGAATGTCAGCGCTGCTCTCTGATGTGTCTGTCTCAAAGCTGGTGATGATGCAAAGATCCGCGTGTGGCAGATTCCCAAAGGAGGCCTGATGGAAACCCTGACTGAGCCGGAGTGCGTTCTGCGGGGTGAGAAGCCGGCACATGTGACTTCTGAACTGTAATAGAAGTAATTCGGTAGTGTTTGATTGACATGAACCTTGACCAATGACAGGACACACGGAGAAGATTTACTCTATCAAATTCCACCCCCACGCGTCCAGCCTTCTGGCTTCCTCCTCCTACGACCTCACGGTGAGACTGTGGAGCCTGGAGACAGGAGAGGAAGTCAAACGACTCAGCGGACATCAGGACCAGGTCTGTCTGTCTATCTGTCTATGTGTCTGTCGTTTTATCTATCTGTCTGTTTGTCTGTCTTGTCTATCTGTCTTTGACTTTGTAGATATCAGAATCAGAATCAGAATCAGAATGAGCTTTATTGCCAGGTATGTTTACACATACGAGGAATTTGTTTTCGTGACAGAAGCTTCCACAGTGTAACAGAATGACAGTGACAGAACAAAAAACACAGATAATAAAAATAAAAATAGTAAAAAAGTAAATAAGGAATAAAAATATATAAATCGACAATTGTATGTGCAGGTATATTACAATAGACAGTTTTTTTTGTATGTACAGGTACTGTATATTATGTGCAAATTTGAGGTGTAGGCTGAGTATGAGTGTTAGATAAATAAGTGTATGAGTGAATAAATAATGTGTGTTCCATGGTTTGTCAAGTGTTCGTGAGAATCTATCAAGCCAACTCACTGTTTTCTCTCTTAGATATTTGGCATGGCTTGGAGTCCAGACGGGAAACTGCTGGCCACTGTGTGTAAGGACGGAAAAGTGCGTCTGTATGACCCACGCAAGTCCACCTTGCCCATCCAGGTTAGTTCAGCATCAGGTTAATATTATTAAACTTCAAAAAATCATATCATTTTGACCAAGTTTTACCGTCTTTGTCCATGCAGGAGGGCCCAGGACCTGAGGGCCATAGAGGGGCCCGTGTAGTGTGGGTCTGTGATGGCAAGTACCTGCTGGTTTCAGGATTCGACAGGTACAATATACCACAAATTTAGCCAAAATGATTATAGTATTGGTACTAGCAGTGCCTCTCTGACCCTAAATATGTTCTAATGGCTTATTTCCTCTATAGTCGCAGTGAAAGGCAGCTGTACCTGTTCTCCGCTGAGTCCTTGGCATCCGGGTCTGTGGCTTCTGTGCCTGCCGATGTGTCTCCCTCGACCCTTATCCCGTTCTATGATCTCGACACCAGCGTCCTGATCCTCACTGGGAAGGTGCGTTGTTGAGCATTAAAATTGGCCATTGGTTTAAATGTTATAGTAACGAACAGATTCATCCAACAATGTGTTTATTTGTCCTTTGGTCTTTCAGGGTGACACACGTGTTTATACATACGAGATCGTGCCTGAAGCACCGTACTTCATGGAATGTAGTAGTTTTCATTCCTCTGAACCACACAAGGTATTATTGTTGGTGCTGTTGTGATGTTGTTGATGATATAGAAAGCAGACTGTTTTACTGATGTTTCACCGTGTACTCACAGGGGTTGTGTTTCCTGCCGAAGACTGAATGTGACGTGCGTGATGTGGAAGTGGCTCGAGCCGTCCGACTTGGCAAGACCACCATTGAACCTGTGGCCTTCAGAGTGCCTCGTGTCAAAGTAAGAGTGATCCTCATACCAGAATCTGAAAAATACAAATTATTATTCTTTTTTTTATCATATTTTTAAATTATATTATATTTCTTGATACCTTTAGCTTGGTCATTTTTGAGTACTTTTTCAGCTTTACATTCCAGTGTTTCTCATGCTGAATGAACAAATGTAAACATTTGAATCTGTCTTCGCTCCACAGAAAGAGTTTTTCCAGGATGATGTTTTCCCGGAGACTGCAGTGTGGTGGGAAGCATCTCTGACCGCTGCTGCCTGGCTCTCTGGATCCAACGGACAGCACCGCAAAATCAGCTTGCGGCCCAAAGACATGATGCCCGGTACAGCTCAACATCACCAAACACAACTCAAGGAATAACCGTCGGCTCTATAAATATAGTGTTTAAATACCCTTCCATATGATCCGTTTTCTTTCAGTGAGTGAAGCACCAAAAGAGGCTCCTGTGAGGAAGTACCTGCCCTCCTCTGTCTATCTGGAGGAGAAAACTGATGAACAGAAGAAAGAGGAGGTGTCTATCTATCTGTCTGTCTGTCTGTCTGCCTGCCTGCCTATCTGTCTGTCTGCCTGCCTGTCTATCTGTCTGTCTGCCTGCCTGTCTATCTGTCTGTCTGCCTGCCTGTCTGTCTCTCTATCTATCTATCTATTCTATATATCTATCTGCCTGCCTGTCTGTCTGTCTGTCTGTCTCTCTATCTACCTACCTATCTGTCCGTCCGTCTGTCTGTCCTTGTCTGTCTGTCTATCTATCTATCTACCTACCTGTCTGTCTGTCTGTCTATCTATCTATCTATCTATCTATCTACCTACCTGAATGTCTGTCTGTCCTTGTCTGTCTGCCTGTCTGTCTGTCTGTCTATCTATCTATCTATCTATCTATCTATCTATCTATCTATCTATCTATCTATCTATCTATCTATCTATCTGTCTGTCTGTCTGTCTACAGTATATCTCTGTCTATTGTTAGCTCATAGATTAATTTGTATATTCTATCTATCTGTCTGTAGTTTGTTAGTTATTTCTGCATATCTTTCTGTGGTTTGTTTGTTCTCTGTCTGTGGTTTGTTCTGTCTGTCTGTCTCTCTCTCTATCATTTGTTTATTTGTTTGTTATTTTTGTCTGTTGATCTTTTTTTTGTTCTGTCTGTCATTTGTTTGTTCTGTCTATCTGTTGTTTGTTTGTCTGTCCTTCTGTCAGTTGTTTATCCGTTCATTCTATCTGTCTATTTTTGTTTGTTTGTTTGTTCATTTTGTCGATCTAGCGTTCTCTCTATCTGTCTGTCGTTCATTCACTTTTTGTCTGTTGATCTTTTTTTTGTTCTGTCTGTCATTTGTTTGTTCTGTCTATCTGTTGTTTGTTTGTCTGTCCTTCTGTCAGTTGTTTATCCGTTCATTCTATCTGTCTATTTTTTGTTTGTTTGTTTGTTCATTTTGTCGATCTAGCGTTCTCTCTATCTGTCTGTCGTTCATTCATTCTATCTATCTCATTCATTTGTGAGTATGTCTGTTTGTTGCAGTTGCTCAGTGCTATGGTGGCGAAGCTGGGAAACAGGGAAGATCCTCTGCCACAGTCGTCATATGAGGGTGTGGATGAAGATGAGTGGGTGAGTGAAGAACTGACCACACACACACACACACACACCTCAGATGATTCATGACACTCTGTAAACCATCTAAATCCTGTCTGTGTGTGTTTCAGGACGACTAACACACAAGCCTTGCCTCACGGTCCAGTCAGGGTGCCAGCAGCAGACATGGGACGTACTTGCTGTATTAAAATTTTGCCATTCCAGGGTGCCAACGTACCTCTGAACCTCCTAAACGTTCCTCATCCCGCCAGCTTCTGCTCCGTACAGCCTGCTGATTCACTCTCACACACTCCTCCATCTGCCTTCTAGATAACCCACCCATCATCTCTCTGCATTGGTTTAACTGGAGTATTAATATCAGTTAATAATGGTTAAAATGATTCTAGACACATGAACACATTCTTATGCATAGTTCAGACGTTCATCTCAGATGCATGACGCACATTTACAATATGACAGGGTTTTTTCTGTGTCAGTTTTAATGATCAGTTTTGTACTGCTGTAATTGACTGTATAATGACTGCATGATAACACAAGCCTTCCTCAATCTATAACACAAAACCTCTCTGGATATTTTCATTGGTGAAATGTGCACTTAATACCATCATTTGACTATTGAAATAGTTAAATGTACGTTTTACATTGATATTGTGGTAATTAGTTGGATTAAATGTCATCTCCTTTAGGTTCTTAGCAGCGTTAGATATCCTTTAATAAGTCTGGAGCACAAATGTCTGTGTACCTCTAAATCAATGATCTGGAGACTATTGAAAACACTCCTTTTTAAACTGGGAAATACTCTATGTATATTTCCTTCTGCTCAACCTAATCAACAGTATTAACACAAATCTACTTCACAAGGGTATTTTCTCCAATAATCAGGTTTATCACAAAGCAATACAACTATTTTCTTTTTTAACAGAACATGTTTACATATGCCAGGTAAGGAATCGTGCATGTTATGGCACTCGTACCGTATGATGTCCTGTGCTTGACATGTGACCATGTACTCACACATAAATGGTAGATGTTAATAGATATGGCAATGGTCTGCTAAGTGTTTTTTTTTAATGTGAGCTCATTTATTTGTTTTTGGGATGCTTTTTCACAGCACTTGTAATCACATTCATTTTAATACTTTCTAGGCAATAATGTTTTTCACTCCTCTTTTGAATGGAATCAGTCTTGTGGGAATGTTGCCTCAAAATAAAATCTTGAGAGCTAAGAAATATGGAATTGTGTGGTGTATTTATTGATGATCATCGTAATCATACTGTAATTATTACAAGTGTAATAGTTATAAATTATTATTATCATAACCATCATCATTATTATACAATGTATCATTATTAATATAATCATATTATTATGTAATTTATTGTTAATAATACAGTATATTATTATATATTCAAATTGTATATATTCTGATTATAGACACAATTCCCATCTGGTAATATTAAATATGATCCATTTCTTTTGTTTATTGTTATTGTTAATATCAGTAGTAGTAGTGTTTAATGTATTATTGATAATATATATTCTTAATATAATCATATTATTATTTATCTCTCTATGTATACATATATATATACAGTGGGTACGGAAAGTATTCAGACCCCCTTAAATTTTTCACTCTTTGTTATATTGCAGTCATTTGCTAAAATCATTTAAGTTAATTTTTTTTCCTCATTAATGTACACACAGCACCCCATATTGACAGAAAAACACAGAATTGTTGACATTTTTGCAGATTTATTAAAAAAGAAAAACTTAAAAATCACATGGTCCTAAGTATTCAGACCCTTTGCTCAGTATTTAGTAGAAGCACCCTTTTGATCTAATACAGCCATGAGTCTTTTTGGGAAAGATGCAACAAGTTTTTCACACCTGGATTTGGGGATCCTCTGCCATTCCTCCTTGCAGATCCTCTCCAGTTCTGTCAGGTTGGATGGTAAACTTTGGTGGACAGCCATTTTTAGGTCTCTCCAGAGATGCTCAA